GCAACCCAGCCTTTATATATTTGAATTTTTTATTTATTAAAATAAAAATAAAATAAATTTTAGCAATTAAATTGAACGTATTTAACTATATAAATTAATAAAATAAAATCTCTTTAAGTATTATTTTCAATTAATTTGAATGAAGTTAGAAAACGTATCGCTATTGACAAAATGATGAGAAAATTTATGAATGCACGAATTTAAAAGTGTATATAATATATTAATATTTGTAAATTATTTAAATTTAATTTAAATAAAATTTAAATTTAATTTGTTTATTATTGAATTGAGTTTGAGTTTAAACTCAAATAATTTAATTTATTGAATAAGTTTTAATACTTTTAAATTTAATTTGAATAACTTATAAATTTAATTAAAATTTTAAATTTTAATAAATTTTATTATTTCAATTAAATAATTATTTTTATTTTAATCTTTATATATATAAATTTAAATTTAAACACATAATTAAATTTAATATCAGATATAAAAATTAAATTTATTTTTATTAATTAAATTTAAACAAATGAATTTAAATTATTTAATATTTATCTTAATCAAATTTAAATTTAAATATTAAAATTTAATTAAATTTAAATTAATTTTAAATAATAAATTTTAAATCAAATTCAACCTGAAATTTTTTATTGTATTTGCTTGAGTTCAGTCGATTGCACTCTATACAGATCTTCAATGACGGGCAGTAGGGACCGCCAAACAGTAGATGTTGCGATGATAACAGTCTGAAGACGGCTGTATCAGGTTTGGAACACCGCATCGGACGGTGCTAAGATGAGGAGAAAGTACTCGTCGGCATAACTGGATCAGAGCAGTCTTTTTGTATTTTAATTTATCTGAACTTTGAAATTAACAAATGCTTTTTTTTTTTTTTGCTTCCAGAGAAATTTGGCTTTGCCAGAAATAGTACTTAAACCGGAAACAACGGATCCTCCTTCCCCTTCACGCAACTGATGACGCCATTACAGTACTTTTTACGAACGTCTTTCTCGTGATTTTAAAAAAATCTTCCATTTGTAGAAAAAAATTCACTATGCAAGTTAAGTGACTGACACGCTTTTAATTTCGAAATAGAAAAAATAAAAAGGTTTTGAAAATGGCGGTGATGGGCGAGTTTTTTTTTCTTTCTTTGAAGATTTACTGAAGTGTACGGAGCCTGTTGAAAGAGAGCCTTGAAAATGCAAATCCCATTTTCGTCGAGCAAGCTTATCGGGCTATCGGCTCAAGCAAAAGATTTTATGTTCTTGTGTAATGTTGTACGCACTATAACCCAAATTCGATAGAAAATAAAAAGGTTTTTGTTTTCGAAGCTTCAAAATATCAGAGAACGATAGCATGACGATTGCATCGATGAGAATAAGGATACTTGATAATTATAGATGATGCTCATTGAAAATAATAGAAAGTATAATTTAAAATTTATAAAAATTATATTTTATATTTGACACGTGAATTATAATATAATAATTTTATATTTTATATATTTAATATACAATAAATATAATATAAATATATAAATTATTAGATTTAATATAAAATAATTATATTGATTTTTTACCTGATTATTTCCGGCAATTAATTGTGCAAAGTAATTAATTTGGGAGTGCTGCTAAATGCATTTTTTTTAATTTTAATACCTTATTTTTTAAAAAAGTTTTTATAAATAAAATTATATAATTATTGTTCTTATGAATTTTTAAAATTTTATAATTTTTTAAAAATAAAATTTTGGAAAGTTATATAAATTTTTAAAAATAAACTTTTAAAAACTTAAAAATCTTTTTAGAAATTTCACTTTCTGAAAAAAATTTTCAGAAAGAATTATAATATTTTGAAAATTTATTTTTATAAAATTATATGATTTTTTGAAAATATATTTTAAAAAATGTTTATAATTGAAATTTATTTTCAAAATTTTATGTTAAAAATAGTTCAATATTTTTATTTTAAAAAAATGAAATATAAAAAAAATCTAAAATACATTTAGCAGCACTCTTAGTTTGGCTTTCTCGTGTGGGTTTTCAGTTGAACTGTAATTTGTATGAAAAACAAAATGATGTTTGCTAATTTCGTAAAAAGAGAAAGAAAATAAAAGCAGATGACGCGGTCAGAATGAACATTTTGAGTGCAGCCCTTTGTGGCATCAGATGACAAAGTTTAGATTCCCATTCTCCACACTTGTGAACGACAATGCAGAAACCAACAATCGTATCTCACTACATAAACATTTAGGTTTCTGTTTTTTTTTTTTTAATCTAAAAATAGATTTTTGTTCATATCAATAATAAACGAAAATGAAAAAATCCTATCATATAATAAATTTCAAAAGAATAACAGAAATAAAATTATTATTTTATATTATATTAAATATTTAATTTAAAATTAATTAATAATAAGTATAATGATTCAACTTAAATATTTGTTAAATTAATTATAACATTATTTTAACAAAAAAATTTGAACATATAATGTTTGTGAACCACCCATGCATAACTTGATAATTTATATTTTCGTGTCGTATCTCGTATCATATTTAATATGTGTAATAATATGAATTATTAAAATATGAATATGATATAAATTATAAAATGTGTTTAAATTATAAATACAAATACAATATATTTAAAATACATATTATAGGTAATACAATACAATTAGTACGTGTATAATTAAATTATTTAAATATGACACGAATAAATATAAATAATATGAATATATACGAATAGACACTGATTAACATAAATATATACAAATAGATACGATTAGTATGAATATATACAAGAACGTGAGTAAAATAATACATAACTATAAACTATCTATTATTTAGATACTAAATTTGACATATTAATAATATAAAAAATACTTATATTTAAAAAATATATAAAAATTTAATACTCATTTAATATGTATTTAATATATATTTAAATTTAAATTTATATTATATAATTATATTAATTTTTAATATCAAATTTAAAATGATAAAAAATAAAAGAATAATGTATAAGACTAATATTAATATTTATATTATTAATATAAAAATAACTTTATAATAATTATAAATAAGTATCATAATTAAATGTTTAAAATAATTTTTTATATGATATTAAATAGTTAATTAAATATCATAATTAAAAAATAAAAAATAAAATATTATTTATATGTTTATATTAAATTAAAAGAAATATAAAATTATGTTAAATATATTAAACATATTTAACGTATACTCATACTCATATGATAAAATAAAATTAAATGTATTATTCGTATCGTATCACATATTTAAACAAAATAACACATACATGACATAAATTATATTATGTCAAAATTTATATCTATATCAATAAATATCATATACATTTTTTTAAACATAAATATAATTTTTATATTATATTATCATATCATATATGAAATTAACGTATCAGTCAATGCATGCTATAAAACTTACTAGCTAGCACATGTTGCCACCGGCTCACAGAGCTAAGGTCCCACTTGGTGTTTTTGGCCAGCTTTCCCCATGTTGATGAACATACTAAGAAACAATTTGAATCTAGCCTGAGTTTCCAAAAAAAAAAAAAAATCAATTCCTAATATGATGAAAGCAGCAAATTATCCGAGGAGTACTTCAATGGGAGAGTAGGTTTCCAAACGCCATTAATTTGATCAGAGAATTTAACAGCTCTCGCACGTACGCTTTCCTTTTTGTAGAAGATCTACGGCCCGCCATTGACAAAGGAAAGTTTGCATTCAATTTTATCCACCAACTCTGCGGTCCATAAACAGTATCCTTCAGCAGGGAATCAATTAAAAAGTATAGGCTCTCCCATTAGAGTACACATGATGATAGATTCTAATGCTAGTGTTTAAATTAAGGGGATGTGCCCCAAATATGAATTTACATATGCTAAAGAGCATTGCCAAATTTGGCATTCAAAACCAATAATAGAATCCAGAAATGTGCATGCAAAGGCAGCCAATTATGTACTGATCATTGTACATCAATAATTGTTATTTTTAAATTTGATAATTAATGTATTTATATAATATAAAATATAAAATATTTATATATTTATGTTATATTTTATATAAAAATTATATAATATAATAAATATAAAAATAAAAAATATTTTTTATTTTATTAAATTTATTTATAATTTTTACTAATATTTTAAATTATATTATTTTATATTTTTTATTCATATAAATTTTATATCATATTATCATATTATATTTAAAAATTTCCAGTTTAGTTATTTCTTACAGAATTGAGAAATAATGGTCTCCTGCCCGGAAATTTAACAAAATTAATGGTTTTGAATTCAAATATAAAAATTAAGAAATAGACATTTATTTTATATTAATAAGTCATTCATCACGTACTTGTAATCTACTTTATAAAGCAAGATTTATTTTGTTAAACTTTAAACAAAAAATGTCTGTCTTTTAAATAATTAAAAGGAGCAAAACATCGTAAAACGAGAATCGAAAGCATTGGCGGATGGGATGAGTGTCGAGAACGGCAAACTCAGCCTTTCGTTTCTTTCATCAATCTGACTCACTGTTCCCTTCTTGTCACATGCGTCATCGCCTCCCTTTCCTCTCTTTCTTTAATTAATATAATAATTCAAATGTTTATTCATACTTTACATTATAAAAAATGGGATTATTATTTTTTGGTAAAAAAAGTATTATAGAATAAGGGATAATTATAAAAATAATAAGAAAGCCACTTTTTTCTTTTTGGTAGGCTGGTTAGAATAATCACAGGGCATAAAAGACCAAAAATTTTGATAAAACGACAAAAGACCTCCCCAAACCTTTGTCAGAAATATCTGCAACAAAGTTTGTTCAATTATTACCGGAAATAGTCGGTCATCTTCCGGTTTCGAGAAACCCTATGATCACCAAACTTTCTCAGTGGACAGACGGAAAAAAATTACAAACAAAAAATAAATAACAAAGATTTCGTTTGAGTTTGAGTTTGAGTTTGAGTTGAGATTGAGTGACAAACATGAGAGATTGAGTTTATGTTGTTTGTGTGAGAAAAAGAAAAAGATAGGGAAGTGCGTGTCTCTTCAACGAATCACTGATCACCTGCACTAGCTCTCTCTTCTCTGTCATGTTTTCAGCTTCAGTTTCAGAAGAAGATCATCATAACCTTCAATTTCATTATTCAAAATAACCCACACCTTTCCCTTTCACTGTTTTTTTTTAATGATCATCAAATCAAATTATTCTTTAATATAACCTTACAAAAATCAAGCGTATACTCTACTTCTTGTTCTCTCTTTTTTATTTTTTGTTGCTGTCTCCCTTGCTGTACTCGTTTGACTCGTTTTAAACGGCCAGTCTCTCTATAGAGTTTTAGCTAGAGATTTTTGTTTTGTGTGTGTGTGGCTATGGCGGAGGGTTTTGAGCCCTACCATGTCCCACAACAAAGCAGAAGAGATAAGCTTAGAATTGTTGCTCAAAACCACCCCGCTTGTGTTGAATCAACGGCTGTTACCCTTTCAGGTTGCTCAGGTTTACTTCCTTTGTACGACCCTTCTCTCCTTTCTTCCGATTTGTTAACTTGCGCTGCCAGCACTAGTGCCACTGCTGGCAGCCATGACTTTCATCACCAGACCAACCAGCTTTCAGCTTCGGCTTCTGGCAAAAGCAGCCCCGTTTGTGTTGTTAAAGATGAAGGTGTGAATCTCATGGGCTTTGTTGGTGGGATTGTGAACGGTTCTTCTTCTTCATCAACTTCTCATCACCCTTATTTGGATCCACAATCGTCTTTACCCTTGAACCCTAGCTCGATTCACGATATGAATAACAACCCTTTTCTTTATACCCCTCAAAACCTTCAAAACCTAAGAGATTTTGACCAGTCCTATAATAATGGTGGTGAAGTTGTGGTTTATAAACCTGAACCTTTGTCTTTGAATCATGAGTCTAGTACCACCGGTCAAGGCTTGTCTCTTTCTTTATCTTCTCTTAATACCCACCAAAACAATCTTCCTTTGGAGCTAAATCTACAAAGATACGAGTCTGCTATCTATAGTGACAAGGTCAATGCTAGTGGATATATGGTTCCAATTATTGTTGATGCTAGTGCTTCCACTTCGAATGACGTTTCCAGGTTCTCGGTCCCTCTCGGGCCTTTCACGGGTTATGCTTCGATTTTGAAGGGATCGAGGTTTTTTAGGCCTGCACAACAGTTATTAGAAGAGCTTTGCGATGTGGGTAGGGGAATTTGCGCTGAAAAAGTTACTCCTGATTCTTCTTTGATGGAGCCTCCATTGCAGAATTTGAGTGCTACTGGAATTATTGATGATCCTCTTGGTGGGGGAGATGGTGGCGAGAGTAGAAGAAAGAAGTCTAGGCTAATTTCAATGCTTGACGAGGTTTGCTTCTCCAATTTGAAAATGTTGGTTTATCATTTGCAACTCTTCTGAATTGGACTTTAATAGAATGATTCTTCAGTTTTGCTTCCTACATGCAATTCATGTTTGATGTCCTACCTTTTTTTTTCTGGGTTTTTCTTGGTTTGTTTTCCTGATTTTTCGTTATCCCACTTTCCTTCCTGCCGTTTAAATCTTCCTTGGAGATGGTTCTTTATGAAACCCGGGCATTTCTGTCACTGTAGAAGTCATCACTGGCTATTATTATTAAAATAAACAATGTCAGCTACTCTTTAATGGTGTTAGGTTTGGTCAGTTCTTGAACCAACATGCAATTTTGTGGTGTTGCATGCATAATTGGCAGTAAATCAAACCATCTTCAGCCGTTTTTTGTAAAATAAAAGTTTCTCAGTAGCTAGTCTAACGCTTTCCTCTTTTGAATACTATGTGAATTAGATTCTTGTATTGTATGAACAGCCTCGATGATCACAAAATAATCTTTTTATGAAAAAGGAGATAAGAGGGAATATATGCACGAAGATTGGTGTTATAAAGTGAATGGCAACCATAGAAAGAGTTCTAATAAGTGATAATGTCGCCAAATTTGGGGCTTAATGTCCTTTAAAAAGTGATTGAAGGAATCCATTTGAAAAGATTTGTATACGAAAAAAGTTTGTGGAAAGCATAATTGGTTATTCCAAGCCTACAGAAGGCAAGATGAGTAGATCACAAGGTGTCTGGACTTTTTGCTTAGCCGAATTTAATTACTATAGTGCTAGTACAAGCTAACAGGTGAATATTGTGTTTCGTCGCCAAAGATAAAGAAGAAATAGAATATATACATATATATACATACATAGAAATGGCTAAGTGCCTAGAAATTTAGAATTTGCAACTTTTATCAGGACTTATACGTGATTGCTTTACTTCAAACGTTTTGATGCTACTTTGCAAAATAGTAATAGTGATCTCATAATTTTAGAGAGATCTGTATTGGTCGGGCCAAAGAGAAAGGTTTCGTTGAACCTAATGTGATAAAAACAGTTCAGAGTGCTTACTTTTAAGCTTTGCTTGTTGAATAAGTTTACATGATTTATAATCTGAAAGTCATGGAGAATGATCTTTCTAATGTGCTAACTATTGTCTTTGTTTTTTTTTGGGATCGCTGGAATTTCACTATTATCATAGTCTTTCATTTTAGGTTGTGTCTTCTCCAAATTCATATAAAGTTCCTCAAAGCAAATTCCTGAATTGAATTTTTTGAACCTAATCAAGCTGTATCCATACTGGTCTTGGAATATAGAGAGAATAGACAAATAATTACACGTAAATTTGGGGGCAAAATTCGGAGTCTGAATAACTGTCCATCTCTTATAACATCATGCTAACCTGGAAAGATTATTTTTCTCCCTTTTAGTGGAAGAGAGGGTATAATGAGGGTTTTAACGAGGATTAACTACATTTTCTTTCCCGGGTGCTTTGACTGTCTACCATAAAAAGGTTCATTCCATGAATACCGCATGGAGCACTATGTTGGGTTGTCATGTCCTTGGTATTTTTGTCGTCTAAAGCTTTAGAGCAAAAACTTGAACCAATGTCCTAGTGAGGCAGCAACATTAGTTTGGGTAGTTGACCGTATGAAACAAGAAGGTAACATCAAAATAAGGATTATGATGTTGTCATGGCCTTAATATTTTTCCTTTGAAAATGATGCGTTGTAATGCACTAGGTGCATTGGTTTGCAGTTTGTTTTTAATTTGCATTTCTTTTGGTGTATAATCCAAAATTTCCTATATTTGCTCTTCCATTTGGTGCTTTATGAAGGTTCAATTTCTGGCACTGTCTATAAATCTTAAGAACTTTTTTTTTTCTGTAGTTTTTTCTGTCTTTATGGATAGATTGAAGTGAATGAAAGTTAATTTGAGTTCTTTACTGGATGCTAATATCCAAGTTCGGAGCAATATTTTTATGTGAAAGTTCCTTAACCAGGGCTTATAATGTATTACAGTGATTCTAGAGTCAGTAATTCAGCTATCTTCGTTTAATGGAATTATGTTTTTCAGTTTCATTGCACACTATGCAACTTACTAACCATCTTTATCTTTATTAGGTTTACAGGAGGTATAAGCAATACTATCAACAAATGCAAGCTGTTGTTGCATCGTTTGAATATGTTGCTGGACTGGGCAATGCAGCTCCATATGCAAACTTGGCTTTAAAAACCATGTCTAAACATTTCAGGTGCTTGAAGAATGCAATCACTGATCAGGTTCAGTTCACTAATAAAGCTCATGGTCAATTAAGCCCCGGAAAAGATGAAGGTCCAAGGTTTGCAAGCACTGACAAAAGCATTTATGACCGACCTGTTCATAGCACTGGGTTCCTTGAGCACCAACCTGTTTGGCGGCCTCAACGAGGCCTTCCTGAGCGTGCTGTAACGGTACTTAGAGCATGGTTGTTTGAACACTTTCTGCACCCGTAAGTACTTGAATTGCATAGATAAACCTGTCATTGAGAATTTATTTGCTTTTTAAACCTTTGTGTTCTATGTTTCAGTTATCCAACTGACACAGACAAGCTAATGTTGGCAAAACAAACCGGTCTATCGCGTAGCCAGGTGTGCCATTTGTCATCAGTCATACATTAATCTTTTCTAGTATAATTTTGCAAACATTAATTCTTTAGGAAAGATAGTTATTGTTTCCATATTCACATCAAATTGGGAGCTCTGTGCAATTCAACTTCTAACTTTGAAAACATAACCTTGTGTACCAGGTGTCAAATTGGTTTATAAATGCAAGAGTAAGGCTTTGGAAGCCAATGGTGGAAGAAATACACATGCTCGAAATGCGACAAGCTCAAAAAGCTTCGCAAAGGGAGGACAGAAATGCCAACAAGTCGAGTGATCATTTGTCTTCAGCAAACTCTCTAGCATCTGAAAATCCATCTACCTCCACTCAAAGGGTTCAAGATACCCCATCCAAGCGCACTAGAAGTGAACTTCCTGATATACCCGTGGGAAGTGAACCACTTAATTTGTCGTACAACAGGTTTTCAAGCCATCCACATGTAGGTGTTGGGGTTAGCATTGCAGGTGCAAGTGGTGGTGTTTCCTTAACACTGGGACTTCATCAGAATAATGGTATTGGATTATCCGAGCCCTTCCCTATAAATGCAGCTCAGCGTTTTGGCCTTGGCCTTGAGGTAAGCAGTGACGGGTATGTCATTGGTGATTTTGAAACACAGAATCGGCATTTTGGAAGGGATGTTGTCGGAGGGCAGCTTTTGCATGATTTTGTCGGTTGAAAAACGTTCAGAGAAAAAGCTGTCTGTTCATTATGTATACTAACAAGGTTTCATGTGGATAAGCCAATATTTATTTCTAGAATTCAAGCCGATTGCCCTGATCTTTTACCGTGTAAGGTCTATGCCATGAAATTGCAGTGTATATTTTCTTTACAAAATTATGCTTACCGACGTAGATTATTGGTGTAAAATTCTTCTGTAAATTTATAACTTACATGATAAAGTTATACATTTTGAGGCCATCAAATCAAGGCTTGCCTCAGAGTGTGCATGAATAGGTTTTGACAATTTGCATATTTGAATGTTGTAAAATATTAATGATTTGTGTATTCGAACGATATTTTATTCAAAAACAATGAATCATCCAATGATATGACTAGCAAAAGATAACCTCATCCAGTAATCTTAAACAGCATCTGCCAAGGCACCAACAAACAATATGGGTTGAAGCCTTTTTGGTTTTTGTCATTTTCATGCTTACTCGAATAAAAAACCAAAAATAGAAAAGAAAGTGGGTTGAATCGATGGTTATTGGTCAGGCACTCACCTCTTGACATATGAAAGTTGCATGCCAAATCCAATTAATTAGCTCCCACAAGCTTGCAAGGGCTAAAAGCACTTGATTCAAGTTCGGAAATTTCAGGTTTACAAAGAAACTGAAAAAGAATGACTTAACCAAAATTTTGCATTTTCTAATAAAATGGTGGATTGAAGAAAGGGAGGAAAGACAACATATTTGACTAGGTCAAGGAAATATTGAGAATGTAATGTAATGTAACACAGGTTGATAATTGGGTTCTAAATGATTAAATATTATGTGTATAAACACAATCTAGTTGCACGGATGGTAGGTGGTGACAGTGCTTTTGTTTTCAATCTAATCATTATTGTTACTATTCGATGGTGCTATTGTTTACGTTAATGGCTGTTACAGGCAGAGGCAGGGGAAGCTTACATTGCAGATCTCGATTTCCCATATTCTTTGTGTTCGGATTAAAGTCCAATAAATGCAAAAAAGAATTGAAACACATTGTAATGATCTAAGTATTTACTTTGCATGAAGGCTAGATAATTAATATAGTAATCAAACTCTACATATCTTAAAACATTGGACCCTGAAAGAGGCAGTGGAGAGAGTTGAGGTGAAGGGATACCTTGTATGTTTGCTTTGGTACAGGGCTCAGGGTGAGGTCCATTGCTAGATTGGTGAAAGTGCTTTTTTCGCAAGAATTTTGTTGTTGCAGTGGGTTGATGTCTGAGCTTAAAAATCAAACCAAATGGAGCTTGCTTTTCTTTTTTCTTTTTTTTTTTTTTTAATGTTTGATGTTTATTTTTGTTAGGTTAGGCATCTTATCATGTTTATTTTTGCGATTAATCATGGTTGGTAAAGGGAAAGAGAGTAAATTCATTCTCCAGACAAAAGTGGATTGGAAAAAGCTGGAGGGACCAGCATCATCAAAGGGATGGGAGCCTTTTGCTCAACTGTGAATTCTTGATTATAGCTGTATTTCCCTTCTTTTATTTTGTTTTCAAAGATTTGTTTGTACAATAAAAGAAATTGGAGAAAAAAAATTTATATACACTAAAAATTAAAGTTTAATTTTATCGAAATTTACTTTTTAAAAGAGATGAAAATTAAAACTTAGAATCCGAGAAAAATGTATTTGATTAGACATTTAAAGGATAATTTTGAATGTCATAGGATCGTGTTTTAGACTAGAATTTCTTCATTTTTCTCATCTTATTTTTATCATCAATTGAGTTTATGATATTTAACTATAATAATTCACCAAACTATGAAACTAATTGTTCAAAGATCTCAAAACTATGTTTGCATTTTGAGGCTTGAAGAAAGCCTAAAGCATTATTGGGCCTAAATATTTAAAGGGCTTAGGGTTTAAAATGGAAGCCCATAATGATGTGTTTTAGGGCCAATTTTCCATGGGTAATTTATGAGGAAGCCCAAGAAAACGGTGAGCTCCAAAAGTTTTAGTTTGATTTCGTAGGTTTGGCCCATTCAACAAAGACATGTATTGAGCTGTTGTCCTTTGCTTCCAAGGGCAAACAAATTGGAATTGGGCTATTGTCCTCATCTCTGTAACTCGGCCTTGGTGCTTAGATATATAATTATTGTGTCAATAGTGATAATTTGAATTAGATTAAATTTTATTTTATTTTTTAAATAATTTTAATATTATAAATTTTTAAATTTAATTTAAATTTGAATCGATTTTTATTTTAAATTAATTTGATTTGAATTGAATTTTATTTATTCGATTTGTTTATTTGTTTTTAAATTTTTTTATTTTTTATTTTTGTAATAACTTTTTAATATATTTATATATAAAATAATTATTTTATTTTATAAAAATTTTAAAAATATATAAAAATTAATAAAAATATATAATTTAATTTAATTTTTTATATTTTAATCTGAATTTAATATATATATATTTAATATATGAACTTAATACAAATCGAATAAAAAAAATTAATTTAAATCAAATGAATATTATAATTGTAAATCGATTTTTTATTCTTTTGATTTTTTTTTTCGAACAAATTTTGAAAAAAAAATTTTTTTTTTTTAATTTTTTATTTTAACCCAAACTTTCGTTAAAGTTTTCTAGACAGGGTTGCCGCTTTCATTATTTTTTTTCCCCTTTCTTGATTAGCATTGGCTTTGTATCTTCAAAGTAAATTAATTGAAGTACAATATGTTCATATTATAAACATGGAATTTTGGAAGTCATTATCGATCTTACCCATCATTTTCCAGGAGTTAGAAAAAAAATGAAAAATTAAAACATTGGTAACGTGGAAAATGTGCATGCAATTGCTATCTTCCATCCTTCACTTCAATAAGCCATGACTTTTTGTTTTTCAAAGTAACCTCTTTCAAAAATTTGTTATTTTTTTATATAAAAAACCTAAGAATTAAGAAACATTAAAAAAGAAAAATTTTTAAAAGTTAGAGAGCGAATTCTAATAAATTAAAAATATATATTTGAAAATTTTTTCGTCGAATCGACGCAGAAAGAAAGTATATTCCTTTGTACCGAAGGTGACCAAGCTGTCGGAAATGTCTTAAACCACCAAAAACCCCTGCTTTTTCTGTCGACATTAGGGTTTCTTCAAAATTTTCCTTCAAAGTTCAAACTTGACCCAAATGAGCAAATGACTTCCCTGTTTTTCTTTCCTTGATTTTTCCCACTTCCTTCTTTAAAACCCATGTAACAACAGACCTCAGAAACCCAAACCCCCTGTAAAAAAAAGATTTTTTTTAAAGGAGAGAACTTCGACAAGATTGTGAATATGGAGGCAAGAGTTGGAGTGGTGGTTGAAGGAAGCCAAAGGGCGTTGAATTCAGCCCACGGAGCTGTCGTGGATGCTGGGGCTAGAAAGTTTTTACAGCAGCAACAGCAACATGGGCGTTCTCCAAAGCAGGGTCTGAATCCGCAGATTGGAACTATTCAACAGCTTCTTGCTGGTGGTATTGCTGGTGCTTTTAGCAAGACTTGTACGGCTCCTCTTGCTCGTCTCACCATCTTATTTCAGGTCTGGTTTACGGTTGCTTATTTAGTTTATTAAATTTGGTGATTCTTTTATTGATTTTTAGTGGTAGTTTGATCTGGGTACTTCGTAATTTGTTGATATTTTTCGTTTTTAAGTTGAGCTGGGGGTTGCAAAAATGAGGTTTCTTTAGCTCGGGATGGATTTACTTTGTGAAACTTTTTTAAGGAAAATTATAGCTTTAAAAAGTTGGTTCTGAATAATATTTAAATAAAAATTAGATAAAAGATGGAGAGGATTATACATCCTTTTTAGATGGCTTGGGAAGTTAAATATGTTGTCTGTTTGGTCGGTTTTCTTTTGTTGGAAAGTGGTTCAATAAAACAGGCAAATTTTTTTCACAAGAAAGTTAATTTTATTGGATTCGGATGAAGGGATTAAAACTCTTCTCAGTAAGGTATTAGGGTCACATTTAGCATGAAATAGCCGAGTAATAGTGGCGCTTAATGATTTTGAATGATATATTTCTAAATATTTGTCGTGAATTTACATACTGCTTACTGTTACATTAAGCATGGGAATATGTTCTACATTAAGGTTGGCCACCGAATGATCTCTCCTTTTCTCAGGTGCAAGGGATGCACTCAGATGTATCAGCATTGACCAAGGCTAGCATATGGCGTGAGGCTTCACGAATTATTAATGAAGAAGGGTTCAGAGCATTTTGGAAAGGCAATCTCGTTACCATTGCTCATCGTCTTCCCTATTCTTCAGTCAACTTCTATGCCTATGAACATTACAAGAGTGTATGTTCTGGTTTTTTTAAATCATATCTTTGCTTTTGTTTTCTGACATTCTTTTTAATTTCATTCATTCCTCTGTTTTTGCAGTTGTTGCAATCTATTCTGGGCGTGGAAAATCAAAGAAGAAACTCCAGTGCTGACCTCTGTGTTCACTTTGTAGGCGGTGGATTGGCTGGAATGACTGCTGCTTCTGCTACATATCCACTGGATCTTGTAAGGACACGTCTCGCAGCACAGGTAATATCAGTTATATGCGAGTGAATAAGGTGCTTGCATTTGCCTTTCCCTACCCTCTGAACAAGATTTCATATGTGGTCTATTGCTTCCCATTTGATATATGTGATGTTTCTGTTTTTCTTCTCAAATTCAACTATTCTTCTGAACTTGGCAGAGAAATTCAATATACTACAGAGGTATTTGGCATGCTTTTCATACCATTTGCAGGGAAGAGGGATTTTTGGGCTTGTATAAAGGACTTGGAGCAACATTATTGGTATATTTACTGTTGTCTTTTAATTCTTTATTTTCCCATCTCATTGTCTATAATTGCTGCTGCAATGACATGTGTGATGCAGGGTGTTGGACCAAGTATAGCAATAAGCTTTTCAGTATATGAGTCTTTGAGATCTTATTGGAAGTTGCAAAGGTAAAAATTCTTCTTGGTTTAGATTGATCAATAGCATGTCTCTTTTATATTTGTTGTCTCCGCTTGGTGTGCTCAAGCTGTAACCTGTTTGAAATTTCTATGATTTTACATTAGGCCCAATGATTCCACTATCATGGTCAGTCTTGCCTGTGGCAGTCTCTCCGGCATTGCATCATCAACAGGTAAGTAATCTGCAACCTGCCCTTTTGTTTGAGCCTTCCCACACTGTGTTGGTATAGTTGGGTTAAGGGGTTTCTTTTCCCTCAGCTGAGTGGATTAGGATTTTCATGATTAATGTTTTTGTTACTTATTTTCTCAAGGTGACACACCCCTATGGTTAGAACTTGGGGTTTTCAACATGGAGATCTCAAGTTCATAACTTACGAATGGGGGGGATGGGGTGGATTTTATAAGATGTTAATTTATTCTATAGCCCAACACCCAGTGTGGATCCTTATATAATATATATGAATAGTAAGTACTAGCTAGTAGTAATTATTTAGAAGCTATATCTGATCTCTGCTGACTTTCTTTTTCTTCATCAATAATTTGCAGCAACATTCCCTATCGATCTTGTGAGGAGACGTATGCAATTGGAAGGGGCTGCAGGGCGAGCCCGTGTTTATAAAACTGGGTTGGTTGGGGCTTTCAGGCATATAATCCAGTCTGAAGGCCTTTGCGGCTTGTATAGAGGGATTCTGCCTGAGTACTACAAGGTAGTTCCTGGTGTAGGCATTGTCTTCATGACCTACGAGACATTGAAGATGCTTCTATCAAGGATCCCTACCACTTATTAGCTTCAGTTCTGTTACAGTCTGTTAGTCATTCAGTTCTCAAGATGACAGGAAACCAAAAAAAAAATAGGGTAAAAAAATTGAAAGCAGTCAGTTAACGGTAGAAGCTTGGTAAGAAAAAAAAATTTTTTTTGTGGTATTAGTTGAGAAACCCTGGTGGTAAATTTTGCAGTTGCTGCTGCTATGGGTATTTTTTTTATGTATAGGATATTAGCACTGTAAGAGTGACGATAAGTGTATCCACTATCTAGTTCCAGCATACTTAGGCCTTAACATTCTGAGAATTAGCAATTATTGATCATATCATCATCGTCATTGTGGTCATCACGGTTTTGTATGTCGTTTGTTTGTTGCCTGCCTCCGGCCCTCCTTACGGGTGGAGCTGGCTGCCAGTGTTCATTTCCTTTGTATTTGAGGTGATATTAAATCACAAACTATTGATATTGACGAATTGAAGCCTATGATTGATTTTCATGTATGGAAAATGAAATGTAGTAAATGATGTTGGTTGAAGGTATCCATCCTCCTTTTGCTTACAGCAGAGATCAATGTGTCCATCAGGTCTAGACAAGGCCATTGCTAAAGGATCATAATTTTGATTTGTTTCACTAAAATATTTGCAATCGATTAACCAATTGGTATTTGTTAAAAAAACAAAATGAAAAAATAAAAAAAGATTACTGATCTACATCATTCATGCAACATTCAACTCATGTTAGAATATCTGTTACTCTGTTCCAAATGTGCATTCAATTTCTCAACAATAGAAGCCGTAGCTTTTAGTTTTTATTCTAGTTTCCTGGTCCCTGATTGAAAGGCCTGGCATGAACGAAGGAGGGACACAACCGGATTGCACGCACAATAGTGACATATCAAGTAGAAGCAGTGTTGGGGTGCAGTTGTTAGCCTAAGGTGCATGCAGGAGGGATTTATTCTGAGGTCAGAAGTTTGCTTTGCTTCTTTCAGCATATTAGCAGAAAAAGAATGTTCCAGGCTTCTGCCGATTGTGCTGCTTCCGAAAACACACATGAAATCAGACACGTTCCATTTCCTTGTGCAACAGCGTACCTGATTGATGACTGCTTATGACATCCGAAATGGCATTAGATTCTCAAGGGAAGGACATTCTGGTGAAGGCTGTAAGAGATTGTGTTTTGTTTGTTTTGTACACAATAAGTAAGAGCTCAATCGATCATTAGCTCCTTGCTTCAGTCTTGAAATGCATCCTTCAGATAGCTTCCCAACCAAAGAAGGCTTTGTGAGATGGGGACAGTAAGGTGCCTTTCAATGGCAAAGAGAATAGAATATTCTAGTCACATCAAAGCCGATATAGCCCATGAAACCAGATACTAGATATAAATGTGGCCTACCTTTTCTTTTCAACAGTTTATGTTCGATAGAGAGAGCTACAGAACCCCAAATTAGAAGATGTGTTCATAAAGCTCAAGATTCTTTTATTGGAAATGTAAGCTTCAAGCAGACTAAAAACCCTTCTATTGTTTCATATTGATAGGTTTTGGCACAAAAGAATTTTCCTTTTCCACAGTATTTTCAATAGTGTTAAAATAAATTGAGAATCATTTTATAAGCAGCCAGGGAATATCTCTAGTCATGAGGAATAAGCAGTCAAGATCATCACACAATCATTGTCTATGGAAAGTAAGGCCATGATTGGTTTGAGAAGAATAGAATCAAAGATGCTGATTTGCATTGGAGCACCCTATCCCCCTTTATTCTTTTAACACTTTGAGTCCCCAATTTATGGAATAAATATTCATGTTAGCTTTAGGAGCCATTATAAATATCTGTATTCAACCATGAAGGCCTCAACCTCTACCTTGTGTTTTTCCTTCCTCTTCCTTAAATCTTCCTTCAACATTTATTTTCTTTACAGAGTTCATATTGGTAAGGATTGGGCAATCTGCATCCTGAGGTTTGGATCAACATCTTGTTTCCTTGTTGCTCTAGTCCTCGGCATGCAGATTACCTCTTCCTCACTGGCAATACAAAACTTGTCAGAATGTAGTTGCAGCACAAAGAAGAATTCATGGTAAGCCAAAACTCTTTGTCCTTGCATTTGCAAATAATTTTTCCTCATTCTCTGGCAGTTCATGCATCAATTGTGCTGCAATTTCTTGTAAGATCAAAACTGATGGGGACTTTTAATGGAGATCTAAAAAAGCTCAGAGTTCTTGCGCTAGAGAATCTTGATTAGAAGTAATGATGTCACCTTGAAGCAAGTGAACAAGAACTGACTGAAGTAGCAATCTGAAGAGAGACAGGAAAACGAAGAATTATCACATGTTAAATGTATCTTTCCAAGCCATATGGAAAGAGTACGAAGGTGAAACTGTCTTTTACCCTTTTTTTGGTAAAATTGAGCAAATTTCATTCATCTGCTACATATGACCATGTGGCTAATGCAATGTGAAGAATTTAACACCTAAAACCTAAAACTGGAAAAGAAAAAGCCTGTAGAATTTGACTTATGAATGCTGTACTTTGACTAGTCTCCCCTAAACTGATCAATCTCTTCCAAGGAAAGAAAAATTGTAAAATAAAATTACAAGTGAAAGAAACTTCACCAAGATCAAATCCCCACCCCCACCCCCCCCCCATTTCCAGAAACAAAATCCAACTATTAGCTCCCGATAAAGTAGTTTCTTGCAATGGAAGCTCAACTTTCAAGCCTCTCGAAAGAAACCCCAAAAAAGAACAAATTTCAGAAGGTTCCGAGAGGGTAAGAGAAACCCCACTCTTCTTCTTAAACAAAGAAACCAACAAAATCAATAAAAAAAACTATAAAATTAACCTCTATCCTTTCTTGAGCCTTCTTCACCTTGATCTCATGAGGAACACGCTTAGCTCTTGCCCAGAGCACTCATCCGGGTTCACAAGGTGAAACGACTCGAAGTCAGCGTTACCAACAACATGCTCATAATTAGTCCTCATGTACATGATCTCCTCCGAACCTAACGACCCGAACCCAGAAGGTATCACGCCGGCTCCAACTGTTGTAGACTGTATTGTCTTTAACATCAGTCGGTTATGGCGGCTGGCTTTTCTTTTTGTAGCAAACCCAATCTTTCGACCATTGCAGTACATGGTCCAAATAGGGATCGAGTGGAGAGGACAGGAGCTGAGTTCGGAAAGATCACATTCGAGAGCAATGCGAACGATGCCACAGCGCATTTCTTGGACGAGTTGGTGAGTTGGGATGGAGAGTTCGAGGAGGAGAGAGGGTTTTGTGGAGAGACGGTCGTGTTGGATGCAAAACCAGACGTGGCCTTTGCGTTGGCCGAAGATGGTGCCTATCACCATGGACCTGGAAGGGCGGGCGGAGGCTGATATCGTCGTTTCGAGATCGGTTGTTGTTGTGGAATCTTGGGAGTCTTTGTCCTGGTCTTGGTTTGTGATGGCGATAGGGTCGTCAAGGTCGTTTCTGAGGGAGGTGCTTAGGCGTTTCTTGGTGGGGCTAATGGTGGAGTTGGCGGTGGTGGGGGAGAGACAACGGAGGAGTCGACGGAGGGCGTCGCTCCTGGTCATTGGTTTCTTGGATCAAAGAAGACAGATAAAATCAAGGGGTCAAGAGGCTCTGATGCGTTGGTGGGGGTGCAAATGTGGGAAAGGGAACTGTGGCTATGGACATGCATATAAAGTCTTTAGAAACAGAGCGGGAATGGATATAGCCGTTAGATTTGGAAATTTGCTTTGTTATTACCTGTCAATTGGCCCTGACGGGGCCCCTGGTAAAAAGGCTGGCAAGTGCATATGGTCCACGTGGCAAAAACGATGACCACTCAGGTTATCAGTTGATTCATTACAATATAATTCTGAGCAAAAAATTCAAACGTGGGTCCTCCTTTTCAAAGAATGGTCAGAGTATTACCATCTGAACCTGTCTTTTTTTATGCTAATTTCAATGTTCTCTCTCCATTGGACCGCGGGCCTCCGATTCTTTTTTATCAGTATGAGTATTGGTCAGGTAACGCCTTGCAAAGAGATTGAAATAAAAGGAAATTCAGGGCTCCCATGCCAGACACGAGGTAATAGAACTTTTCAAGCCTATCCTTGTTAAGGTCATGACCACCTAACCATGGTGATTTCCCACCTTGGCTGGTTGTTTTGTAGACGATATTGACAAGAATGGAATTCAAAGTAGCTTGCAAGAGATAAGCTGACAAAGAAGATGCTCCAACAACAGTTCTACTTCTCATGGACTCTGACAATTGCGTGGTGAGAAATTCCATTAAGTTCATTGCAGCAAATGCTTCTATCAAACCTGATAAGGCAAACTGTGGCAGGGGCATTTAAAATGCTCCTAGGAGACTCGAAGGAACCTTGTTTCAAAGCTGCCGCCTGGCGTTGCTTCCGAATAACGGAAGCCACTTATGAGCACAGGATTGCAATCACACTACCGATGTTAATCCTCAGTGTAATAAACAATCTTTTAGCCTTCATGCTATTTTCCGTGTCTGAGGTACCCACATTTGCTCATAAATGAAGATCCATATGGCAAGGGCAATCATTGATGAGAGTCCCATCCAACCTGGGGGACCTGGAAACTAGATCCGAGCTGTTTTCGTTGTCTGAATCGCTTGAAGAAGTACAATTCTACCCTGCAGGTCCATGGTTATGAAACAACCAATTCCTGGTATCCAGACAAGCATCATTCCAAGCAACATTTTGAGATTTTCCACTTGTTGAATACTGCATAATCTCCAACCATTCTTGGGCTTGCCTTTGTCGTCCAACTCACTTGGATCAGCAATTAAAGCAGCCGTGTATAGGCAACTGAATCTTTTGGTGTGTGAGAGTTTTGATCCTGATTCATGGAGGTCAGGATCATAAAAGGAGTGCCCGGAAGCCGTTAAACTACCCTTTCTAATGGCTGCTGTGATTACTTTAACCATGTCAACAAAAACACTTCCCTGTGGCTTCATTATTATGTAGGCGCGACGTCCAATTATGAAAATCACAAGGAAAGAAAAAAGCAGCCATTTGGAATGGCAAAACCAATAATGCCACTGACATTGATCTGATCATAGACAATTCCTGTTAGAGCTATCACGAGGCGAAGGTGAATGTGAAGTAACACCAGTTAATGCTGGATGGAGGTCTTAATTTAGGCACACCTGCAGTGAGGGTCATGGTTGCCATCCCCCTGATTGACCATAACTTTTAGAACAAAATATTGTAGTATATACAAAAAATTACAATCAGAATTCATCCAAATGACATGATTGGAGAAGAATTCTTTCATTTATGTTTCAGTTTTTGAATCTTTCATGTTGGATATCTATGTTCATGAACTGTTTTTGAAAGGAATAGATGGCGCATGGTATTGAGCACCAAAGTTATGGGGATGCCATAATAATGAAATTCAATTTGTTACACTCCAAGATCTTTCATTCTCTTGGATCTCTCAACATTTTCTATATCTATATTTAATTAATGAATTTTAAAATATTGTTTGTAATCATTTATTAAATTTTCTAAATAAATATAAATAAAATTTATTTACAAATTATTCATCAAACGCATTCTGATTCTAAATGAGTATTTCAATCTGTGCATTCACCACCTGAACCAAACGGTAGCCATCAAATTATGATGTTCAAAGCTATTAATTAAATGGTCCAATATCCGTTTATCTTTCTTTGATTTAATACTGAGACTATTTCATTGAACTTTGTAAAATTTATTTACAAATTATTCATCAAACGCATTCTGATTCTAAATGAGTATTTCAATCTGTGCATTCACCACCTGAACCAAACGGTAGCCATCAAATTATGATGTTCAAAGCTATTAATTAAATGGTCCAATATCCGTTTATCTTTCTTTGATTTAATACTGAGACTATTTCATTGAACTTCCCGTCATGCCCAAGCTGTTAAACTGGAATTTTATGTACATTTTCCATTTGTAATGTTTAAATACTATCATAATGCAGGAATCTGCTGCTGGAATCCATCCCATGCTGTAAGACGTTTCACCATTGCATGTGAAGGAACCTGAAAAGAAAGCATACCAAGCGGAAACGTCTGACCATTTATGCTTTCTTTAATCGCAGAAATGAGAATATTACAACATCCAAATAGGATACAGTTGACCCATTTTAACACCCCAATTCCCTGTTACTCAAAGAATAACTGTACATACAAATATTTTACACAGTGAAACAGGGTAAGTCAATATGAGCATGAGTTAAAAAATTGTTCAACTCTATGGCTGATCCTTGCACTTGAGAAGAGCCATCCTTTGAGATCTTGAGTAACCTTGCCTGTTTCTAAGAAAATCAATGTAAGTTCGAAGTCTATACCGATCCAAGTTTGTGAGGGAAAAGGGAGGATTGAGAATGAGGGATGGTGCTTCGACTAGTAGGAAGACTAATAAACGCACGGCCTTTGAATACAAAAAAGCTGCACTTTCCATATCACCCATGAGCTCATCAACCTGCAAAGACACATGCAGGACAATTTTCAGCCGATGAGATTACTTCAATTGTTATCTTCTATCACCTTAATTTAAGAAAACTTTTATGGCATTCATCAAATAAGTAAATAGGTTCATTTCATATCGTAAAATAGATCTTCGCTTGATCTATTCTCCTATTTTGTTTTCTTCACCTCGTACAAATGGTATAAAACAATGTCCAGACAATTAGATAGATAGATATATACAATTTAGGCACATTGAATGATATCAAGGTGAGAAGAAGAGACTCACTCCTCCATGTCTCCCGGAAGTAAGGGCAGCCTGAAATATTGTCTCCATTGCATCAGGCATCTCTGTACTTCCTGCAATCATGGTAACAAAATGATCATTTAGAATATTAGTTGAATAGAATGAATACAAGTGACTTTGTTTCCTTACACATCAGCAATAGTTGTCATATGCATTTAGTTCCTTTCTTATCGTTTGAACAATTTCAAAGTGGATCAACAAATATGATGCCAGGAGAAACAATTATCAAAGGCATACCAGGCTCAATAACCTTGGCAATTTCCTCAGCATGCTCAACTCCCCGGAGAAATTCCCTCTCTATCTCTGAGGATATATCGTCTGGCTCTTCAGGGCTAACAACACCCTGAAATTCTTTCACATCAGATGTTCCATGCTTCTTGCTGGCACTCCTCAATCTGCTTGTCTCTTGGCTTCCTTCCATAGCTGATACAGCCTTTGTATGGCAAATATGCAATGCTTGCTTCCAAATTGCAAGAATTACAAGCTGGATTGAGAATGCTTCAAGTTGTCTACCTGCCTCAATCTATCAAAGAACCACAATAGTGTTGCACAGAAAATAACCTCAATAAATCTTGAGACAGCAAAGAAAATACCGAGAGCTAAGCTAGCAATATGTGCTACACAAGCAACAGCAATCACCATTGAGAGTGGCATTGAGTTGCATCATTTAAAAACTTCTACCGTTGCAAGAACCTTATTGACCGAAAAGTAACAGAAAGGATTAGCAGAAAACGGGAATAGGCAGACAATCTAAATGTGTTTAGCTGTAAAGACTTCTTACTTCAAATCTTCAATCATGCAAACATGGGGAAAGGATAATGGGAAAGAGAGGGAACAAGTCATGCTATTGTAACACTCTGCATAATGCACTTATAATAGGTGTATTATGGACTGACCTTTTCATGCACTAATTCTGTAATAGAAGATGCACACTGCTGTAATGACTTTATCCTTGTCATATAATGAGATGATGGCTGTTCCAGAGTATCTCCAATATCCATGGATCCTTGAGAAGTCCCAGGGGCAGAACTCTGACTTTCCAAGCTTCCTACATGACAGATGTTAACATTGGTGGCACCAATGATAGGCATGGGGGCAGTTGATGTGGTATTATTGGTAAAGGGGATTAGAGGTGGACTATCTGATTTGTATGGAATATGAGTACTAGCCGAAGAAGATGACAAATCCATTGGAGGTCCAGAAACAAGAACATAATCTTGGTCGATCAACTCCAGTGAGTCCCCAACTATGGAAACAATGCAAGAGTGACAGTTAAACCAGCCATGTTATGCAAAGGATGACAATTGCTTAGAACATATATGCTTAGCAAGACATCTTGGGAACTAGATAATATGTAACTGAATTGAGAAATGGAACATATAAGATTGCTAGTACCTCTTGAACGAGTATTCACAGATCTTAAATCCATGGAATTGTGAGGTTCATGTAGTGTTTCACCTGAAACCTTATGGTTTTCAAGTCTAAAACTAGTATTTTTCAATTTAAGTCTCGTACCACTATATTTGGATGTAAAATCAACTTTATTCAAAGGATTAGAAGTTGCTTCTCTAATATCTTTTGCATCAGGAGAAAATCCATGAGCAGATTTCATCGAGGACCTCTTCTTTGCATAGGAAGGGCTCCATTCAGGACCACTAGAATCATCATCCAGAAAGAAAGGAAGATAATCCTCTTGAAAGCCTTCCTCAGTGTTCCTTACAGGACTGCTTTCAGTCAAAGTATAATCAGCTGTTGTTCTTGAAAATCTATGACTACTGCATATGCCACAAAGTTTCATTATTTAGGGAACTGAAGGATAATGTATATCAAGACAAGATGAGAACAACCATTTCCTCATTTACCTTAACAATTCGTCTGGTTGGCCCTGAGAAAGAAATGGGTGGTTAAAGAACTCTTCAAATGTTAAACGTTCCACTGCAAATACAAGGATAAAGAGCACAAGGAGAATGAGGGCAAGAACATTAATAAGAATTGCTCAGCACTCAAAATACATTGAAAGCATTGCTGAATGAAACATGATTTTTATGTTTCTCTTTGCTCATTGTCTTGACAGATCAACTAAAGCTTTATCTTAGCATCATCTTCCTTACATGGTCTAGCACACAGAGACTATGACTTATATTACAATAATTCCTCTAAGCTCAATTAACAAATAGGTGGTTAACGTCATTCATGATTAAATATCAAAGCATAAAATTGCATGCCAAAAGTAAGGGATAAGAACAATGATTACAAACTACAAAATTCCGAAAGAGGTTGAAGCCTAGAAATTAGAGTGTCCTTTCATATACCTCTAATTTTGGCAATCCTCATTGCCCCAG